CCCCAAAACCCCAAAACCCCAAAACCCCACAGTCGAGATCTAACATAGAAATATTTTACAGTTACATTTTTATAAAGCCTGAATAGCCTCCTTGATGAATAAACTCAATTGGGTTTAAAATCTGCTCTGCAAATAGAAACTTCTCCAAGAAATGGGTCTTGAGGGCAATTATTCAGCAAATAGTTCTATAAGCCATGGATATAGAGCTAAGCCTGCTCATTATATAACTCAGGAGAGCTTTATAATAGAAACTTCATAAATTTTCAGATAATTTGGTGAATGCTCAATGCAATTCAGTAAAAATGATGCTCATCATTTGTACAGAGATTACTCATTAATGCACATCTAGAGACTAGCTTTGATTGAAATAGAGCATGCTCAGCTTAGAGATTAACACCTGCTTTAAACTGTATCAAGATCTTCTTCCTTTCACTTCAGAATAGATTTGAAAGTTTCATGTTTCGAACTGAGGAAGATACACCGAATTCTTACAATTTATTTACTTAATATGATCATTAGCATGGCTGCCCTAGAAATAGGTAAAATTGGGTGAAGCTTAGCGATGGGTGTATAATTTAATTATGTCATTCATAATTCATTCTGATATAATAACCCCTAATCAAGTAAGTTGGCCCTCTTCCTGTTTCCTGAAATATGAGCAAATCAATACTTTTGGAAACGCCATATGCTCCAAATTATGCTAGATGATTTCTATTGATAAAGATTAAGAAAAAGCGCTGGAGATTATTTTTCCCAACCACAGTGCTTTATCTATTTTGGTCTTGACTAACAGCGTAGTGCTAACCACCTGGAGGCTTGTAAAATGTGTCAACATTATTAGCCAACAAGGAGGTTTACCTAAAAACTTTTATATAAATTATGTGAAATAAACGAAACTGTCTATAGGAACAAGCTGAGCTCCCTCTTATGTGTATCTAAGAAGTATACTAAGCGATTGCCCTCTCTCTATAATAGAAATCACTTAATGCAAAGAAAGAGCCGGTTTTATACAGATCCTCCAGAGGTTATATCTGAACCTTTTACAGAGATTACTATTTTTAAAATCGGAAATTTTCTTTTGATGGAGTTTCACAGATTATACTGCTTTCATTTGAGACTTATGATAAATTATCTAAAGTTTTATTAGTATACAGGCTCTTTTTCTTCCTTAGAGATCCATCGAAGTGGTTAGCATAGGACCTAAATAATGTATCAAAACCCGAATCGAATGTTTAGAAACATGAAAAATATTCGGAATTTTTCGATCCCCACTTTGTGTAATTTTGATAAATATCGATTGATTTTCAGAAAACATGATGAGCTTTACAAGCACCATAATCTAACAGTTTGATGTTTCATTTGATGGAATAATATTACTTCAAATCTTAGCCTAGCATTACTTTTCAGAAATTAAAAATTTATGAGGAATTCATACAATTATTGAAGTATGGAAGTCTTATTCTAGGATGCGCAGATAGCCAAGCTGCTAAAAAACTCAAATGGGAACCAGAGGCATATCCTGACGTCGAGAGCTATATAAAACCTTATTATGAGCTTTTTTACGAGCCTTCTTATTTCTTTAGAAGAAACTCTCATTAAGTCTACTTAAATAATAATTTGGCGAACTGAAAATGAAGAAGGATCCCTAACTGGATAGAAACTTCCCTATTATAAGTTTATAATACTAAGAAGTATTCTCCCGTGGCAAATTAGAAAAATCTGCTGATTTAGCGGGAAAGCGGCAAAACTTCTTAACACCAAAAACCTATGAAAATGTAAGAAAAACTCCTATTTTTCAAAGCTAGCAAGGCCTTCGTAGCTATTAAGTATATAACAAGTACTCCATATCAATTTAGGAGGATCTTCAAGCGGTCTCTTTATTGAGACCAGTTATATGACTCCTTGCTGATATGAATTTTTAATAAACTTCCAAAAATCCTTCCATTATTAGACAATGCTATATTAGCATGGTCGGCAGGCTAGCAAGAATATGATAGCAGTTATTTCTAAGAAAAATTGTATCCCAAACCTGAGAAAATTTGGCTGTGTGTTAAATCATAATTATACAGAAATATTAATTAGGGATCCTTAAGCCATTGGATGATGATAAGTAGGAGTTTAGTTCAGCAAAACCTGAAGGATCTTGCTTGATGAAACTTTCCTCAGCAATTTCACCTCTTTTATGCTTAAATATCTCTTCTGAGAACTGAAGGTGAAAGTCTTTGCTTTAGACTTCTTGCCACGTAAACTTAAGGGCTCAGAAGGAGATAGATCTTCCAGAAAAGTAGCTTTCCCTGACTTTCTTTCCTTAGCTTCACCATTATTTTCGTCCTTTGGGGTAATTGGGAATCACCAGAAGTCTTCTCTATTGGATCTTCCTTTGTTGTCTTTCAAAGTATTTGAGAACTGATGTGTCATTTTAGGAACCTGTGGTGAACACTCATCTGTATCTCCTCAGGATACTAAGTCGTCACTCCAAATATCTTGGTGACCAATAATTGGTTTAATCTGAGTTTCTGAGTTCATTAAAAGTTAATTATTATGAAAACTATTCAATCATTTTTATCTACTGTGGGGTTTTGGGGTTTTGGGGTTTTGGGG